AGTCCGTGTGTAAACCTGCTAAAGCCTGGTAAAGTTATCTGCTGCTGTTGCTGATTCATAATAATTTCAAACTCGTTCATCTTCCTTTAGATTCTATTAGGTGATTATATAGCTGATAACATTTAACACTGAAAGTGGTTGATATTAAAAGCAGAGGATTTGTGTTTGCAAACACAAAAGCATTTTAAGTATGTTTGTACTTCTATGTGTTTTTCTGTCCATCTTTCTAAACAAAGTCTGGGCCTTTGGGATTCCGGAAATATTTTCTAATATTTTTCATATTAAAAGTTATGATGGTGTCGTTTTCATTGTATCCAGGGCTCACAACTTCTAAGTAAATGAGGCTTTTCACACCACGAATGTCTTTAGTGTGAGAATTTGTGGTTTCTAATGTCTGTCATACTGTGGTGGCTTGTGTGTTACTATGATGCTGAAAGAAGCCATGCCATTGGTATTTCAAATGCCAACAGGGTCATCCAAAGATAACAGATTTCAGCAGAGCTTCCAGAGTAAGATGGTTACTGAAAACCTGGCAAACAAAAGCCGAGCATTGTCAGAGAGAGTGCCGGAAGGTGAGCCAGCCCCTCAGGTTGGAAGGCACTCAAAACGTGACTGAGGAGGAACTGCCTTCTCAAGCAGAGTTACGTGTCGATCATTGTGATCGGTTCCCCCTTTCTCCCTTCCTCTCCCTCACGTCCCCCTACCCTTCTGCTGTCGCTGTTCCCGCTCCGGTGCCTGGATTCCGTGCGTCGTGAGCTCCCATCCCTTTCTGTACCTGTGTACGCTCCGGTCCAGTCTGAAGCGAGAAGCAGCACTGGGGTCATGGTAGTGGGGGGTGAGGAAGCCTCAAGCAGCCAGAGGAGTAACCATACACCCTTCTCCAGGGGGAAGAACAACAGGAAACATGGGGGAAGGGAGACAGCGGTCGGTGTGAGATATGAAAATAATAATAATGTACAATCTATCAAGGGGTTATGAGGGCTGGGGGGCCGGGAGGGAGAAAACAAGAGGAGCTGATACCAAGGGCTCAATAGAAAGTAAATGTCTAGAAAAGAATGAAGGCAACAT